GGGGGGGGGGGGGGGGTGTCGGGGACACTCGGAAGGGAATCGGAGATGTCTGGGGGTTTGGGGACATTGGGAGGGGAGTGGGGGGGTTTGGGGACACTGGGGGGTGTTTGGGACACGGGGAGCATCGAGGGCAGTGATTCTGGGGACACTGGGGGGTGTTGGGGACCCCGTGAGGGGACAGTGCTGAGCCCCCTGTGCCCCCAGCCCGCCGACTGCCGGGCCCTCATCGAGAAGCTCAAGGGCTGCAGCGACGAGCAGCTGGTGACAGAGCTGCAGCAGATCAAGACATGGAACATTGGCAAGGTGGGAGGGGCCCCCAAAACCCCGGGGGGAGCCCCCAAAACCCCGGGGGGGGGGTCCCGAGACTGAGATGGGAATTTCCCGAGGGGTTCCCCACGGTGTGTCAGGGTGGTGCTGAGCTCGTCCCCAGAGCGGTCGCTGCCACGGGGGGGTCACCCTGGGGCACCCCCAGAGTGTCCCTCAAATGAGGGGGGGGGTCCCTGGGTTTGGCTGAGCCCCCTGAGCTCTCAGCCCTCAGGTTGGGGCCGTTCTGGAGTTTTCTGGAGGTTTAGAAATGTGAGGGGGGGTCTCTGGATTTCCTGCAGCCTTTCCCCAGTGTTGGGGGGCCGGGCTGGGGGGCTCAGGGGGTGCAGTCTGTGCCCTGGGGGGCTCAGGGGGTGTGGGGCTGGATTTGGGGCTGTGTTGGGGGGCTCAGGGGCTGTGTTGGGGGGCTGGGTTGGGGGGCTCGGGGGGGCCAGGCCGTGCCCCCAGCCCCACATCTCCCCCCCAGTGCGAGCTGTACCACTGGGTGGACCTGCTGGACCGCTTCGACGCGCTGCTGGCCGAGGCGGGCCGGCCGGTGGAGGCCATGAGCTGGATGCTGGCCTGCGACCGGCCCGAGCGCCAGCCCCTCAAGGCCCTGCTGCTGGCCCTGCTCAACTTCACCGCCCTGCTCATCGAGTACAGCTTCTCCCGCCACCTCTACAGCTCCATCGAGGTGGGGACCGCCCCGGGACCACCCCCCTCGGGCGTGGCGCGGCCCCGGCACGCCCCCCAGCCGTGTCACACCTGTCCCCGCAGCACCTGACCACGCTGCTGGCCTCCTCGGACATGCACGTGGTGCTGGCCGTGCTCAACCTGCTCTACGTGTTCAGCAAACGCTCCAACTACATCACCCGCCTGGGCTCCGAGCGCCGCGGGCCCCTGCTGGCCCGCCTGCAGCACCTGGCCGAGGTGGGGGGGACTGGGGGGGCTCTGGGGGTTTTTTGGGTTTTTTTGGGAGGGATTTTGGGGGTTTTTGTGGATTTTTTGGGTTTTTTTGGGGGGGTTTTTGGGGTTTTTTTTTGGTTTTCTGGGGGGATTTTTGGGGGTTTATTTGGGTTTTTTTTGGGGGTTTTTTTTAGAGGGTTTTTGGGTTTTTTGGGGGGATTTGGGGGTTTTTTTGGGGGGGGGTTTGGGGGCTTTGGGGGCTCAGCGGGGCAGGGCTGAGCTGGGCTGGTCTCTCTGCAGAGCTGGGGTGGGAAGGAGAACGGATTCGGCCTGGCTGAGTGCTGCCGGGACCTGCACATGATGGTGAGTGGTACCTGAGGCACCCAGAGCTCACCTGTGTCACCTGGGGCTGCTCTGGGGTGTAACAGAGCCCACCTGTGTCACCTGGGGCTGTCCTGGGGGTCCCCAGAGCTCACCTGTGTCACCTGGGGCTGTCCTGGGGG